AGGGCAAGGGTGTTGGGGAAATTTAGATGATTACAGGCCCATAAATATGCTAAACACAGAGTTAAGATTTTGGCCAAGATCCTGCAAGAGCGTTTGCAGTCTCTGTTGGGTCCTGAGCAGACTTGTTCTGTGAGGGACCGAACAATTCAGAGCAACCTGCATCTGATCCGCACGATCATAGAGGATGTAAAAGACGACGATGAGGCCGCGCTGATCAATTTAGATCAGTCCAAGGCATTTGATGGGGTTGAACATCGCTACCTTCCTGCTGTCCTGAAGGCCGCCGGATTCGCACCCGTATTTTGTCGCTGGGTTAGCCTCCTATATCGCTCCCTCAGTGCTGTGGTACAGGTGAACGGGAAGCTGTTGGGCGCTTTTGTCTTGGTTGGTTCGTCAAGGTTTTCCATTGTCGCTCCTACTTTTTGCTTTGGCGTTGGAGCCTCTCCTTCGCCGGCTGAAGGACAGGGCGTGCAGTCCGGCCCTACGTGGAATCGCCGTTCCTGAAGGGGGTCAAGCCAGGGTTTCCGCGTACGCCGATGACGTATCTGCTTTCGTGTCGTCCCGCAGCGACATTGAAGCGGTACTGAAGGCACTTGATCGGTACGAAAAGGTGACAGGGGCCAAGATTAACAGCGACAAGTCGTCCGGCTTGCAGTTAGGTGCCTGGAAGGGGTCGATCTTCCGGGGCCCTTCGGTTGGACGGACGGTCCTGTCCGCATTCTTGGAGTGTGGTTTGGACCCGACCTCCAGCTGGAGAGAAAAATTGGTCTGAAGTACGAGCAAAGGTCGACGCGGCCGGTCAGACTTGGCGTCGACGGAGGTTGTCCGTGAAAGGGCAGGGCGGAGGCGTGTGCCACTTACGTTTTCCCGATTGTCCTTTATCGATTGTCCGTACTTCCTCTCTGTGACGACCATAGGAAGCCGCTCGAGCGCTCGCTATCCTCCATTTTATGGAGGGGACACGGGAATCAGGTCGACAGATGAGTCTGTGCACAACGTCCGTGTCATGGGGGGGATGGGAATGCCACACTTGGCGAGCCACAAACTCGCCTCGAGGTTGGCTTTACTATGCCGCGCATTGACAGGAGATTCGATTATGGCGGGGATTGTTATGGACGCATTCCCTTTCCTTACTATCAGTCCCCCCCATCTCGCGGGTTGAGCGCCATCGTAAACCCCAGGATCAATCGGATTTCCTTCGCGAGTGTCGGTCGGCCTTGTTGGCTGTTCCTCGGTCCAGTGACCTTTCTCGGCCTAGGAAGGTCTTCTATCGTCTTCTAGTGGAGGGGGTCGCGAAGGATTCTCTACGTGAGCGGCTCGACTTGTCGGAGGAGGAGTTTCGCTCTTTCTGGTCTTGGGCGCCAGCGGCGGATTATCTCAGTAACCCTGAGTTTTCGCTTACCTGGCGATTGGCTCGGAATCGGCTGCCTCTCAATGACAAGGTCTTCATATGGGGCTTGGCGGATTTGCCAGACTGTGAACGGTGTGACCTTGGTTTAGAAGAAACGGCTTCGCACGCCTTCTACCATTGTCCCCGGGTCCGCCCCTTATGGGACCATGTCGGCGAGTTGACGGCTCGTCTCGCTCCCGAAAAGCTCGTGCTCATTGATCGCGCATACGCGTGTGACAATGTGTCGCCCCCGTATTCTGGGGTGAAACGAATGGTGTTTCTGACGCTGCTGGCCACGGCCCGAATGGTGATTTGGACGACGCGACAGGAGGAAGTCTTGCGAGGCATCCGTCTTTCTCATCAGGATCTGATCCGATTCTTTGAGCATCAGCTCAAGATGAAGATTAGAACTGATAGAAAACGCTTGCATTCGACAGTCTTCAGCGAAAGGTGGGTGACTGAGGCGAGCTTGGTTCGTTTGAACGGGGCTAGCCTTGATTTTTATTTTTAGGTCAACCTACGTCACATCGGGGTGGTTTCCTGTGGAGCCCCTCCCTTGGTTAGGTTAGACAAGCTTTGGTGTACCTAGGTAATGTGAGTAAATGTTGTTCCTGGCCTGTTCCCGGCTGCATCTTCGGTTATGATCCAAGTTGAGATTCCCAACCTCCCCAGTTTGTTTTGGCCTCTTTTTATTACGATTGGGTCAGCTTTTTTCTTTCCCATGTCCATATAATTTTCTCCTTTCCCACTCCCTTAGCAAGAGAGCCTCTTGATTGTGTCCAATGGGCAGAATACAGCGGCCCTCTTTTTTTGAGGGTTGGACGGGCCCTACTAACATCAGTTATGTTTAGTTTACTTTGTGTTTATGTTTAGTTTGTTTTTGGGTTCATTCCCCCCTCTCATTTTTTCATCATAGAATTTTATATATATTTATTATCATTAAATTTTTTTATGGCATGGGGCGCGTTTTGTAGGTCCCCTTGAGAGAGGATGCGGTATTATGGTGTATGGAGGATTGATTGGTGATGGACGAGTTTTTGTGGTGAATGGGCAAATTGTAATGAGTGAATGGGTCGTGAATCGGATTAGCTAACACACGCATACACACTAATATTTGAACGAACACATTTGAGTTTTTTCTTGCAAAAACCAAATTATTTTAATTTCACTAACAAATCAAAACCATTAACTTTTATTGACCAAATTTCTTTCGAAATTCTTCATAGCCTTGTCTTAATTGCCACAATCAACAAACATTCTTTTATCCTTGAATGTATATCTAGTATTGTATATATAAAAATCTCTTTATTGTTGGATCTCTAACCACTGTGTTTTTTTAGTAATTTCTTGCAATGCAAATTGTCCTTATATTCCTTATTTAATCTACGTGTTGTGGGATAATGCATAATAAGCACGCATAATCTTTGCCTTTACATAAATTACCTTCTGATACATTTTCACTCAGCTACAACCCGCAACAACTTCACTATAACTGATAACCCACTATAGAGGAAAGCAACGCATAACTTACCTAGCGAGTTTTTTGTTTTGACGGGGACGCTTGTGATACATGACTTACAAGGCAGATTTTTCCCGCAGTAGGTTGCCATTTCTTTCTGCGGTAGACCAGTTGCCATCCAAGGCTATAGGACCTGGTCTGTCCTGTTATTTACCCATAGTTGGGGGAGAAGAAGGAGATTCCCAAGGGTATTAACACGTAAGTAAATGTAATGTGTTCGACTGAAATTCGAACTCGGCTCTCCAAATCCTCAATCCAAGCCGCTATCCATTATTCCACCGTGCCTAAAGAAATCCCAAAAAAGGAGGCGGGTTATTTAAAAACATAAAACTTCATCATTTCATGGAATAATTTTCATTATTTTTATATGTTAGTTAGTTACATAACTGTTTGAATGTGAGTTATCTTGCATATCAGAAAGTAGATTTACTTGACTCACCACTGTCAGGTTGTGACACAAGGTCGGTTTTTAACTCGGGTCGCTGGTCATAGCTTGTCAGTGCTCGTTTAAGCTAGTCATAGGCGTAGTACATCCTGAGCCAGGGAAGTATCATAGCATATCAGAAAGTAAGAAAGAAAGAAGTCTGTGTATTTTTTTTATTCGTTGATTGAGAGATGTGCTGATGATTGACAAAAAGTTAGATGAAAAAAACTTTGTCAAATTTAACTACGCCTGAAACTAGGAATTTATGTTCAGTGTTCAGTGTTCATTCAATGTCAAGTTCCAGTAATAACTTGAGTAGTTTCAGCAAAAATGATCAGTTTCACCACACTCTTTCAGGAATGTTTTTAATTAAATCAAATAAAATCCCATCAGTTTGAACTTTAATGAAGTTGCATAACATACAGAGAAAAAACACATTTCGAAGCCCCCCTCCGCTCCCAAAATAATGTTTTTTTTTACTTTGAAAATAACTAATACTGCAAATTACAAAAGATCCCTTTTTACAAGACTTCATGCAATTAAGAAATGATTTGTTTCGTATAAAAAACACGCTTCTTAAGCTTTATTTTAAAATGCCATTTTTACCAATAAATTTTTAAAATAAATACTCGGTTTTTCAGGAAACGCAGGAAATACATTTCGATCAATATTAACTTTTTTACACACGATTGGTTGGCTAATTGCCAACCAATCATATTGTAAGGGTTTTTCTTTTTCAAGCTGCTGCTAGCATAAAAATACGTGTCGATTTTTTTAAAGTTGATAAATGGAATGGCTATTATTATTACTCACTGTCAGCAAACAAAGGAATGGGAATTATAAAAATAAGAAAAGTAAAAATGTTATTTCGTTTAAAGTCAACTTCAATTAAATACTTCTCTTACAATAATTTAAAAATACCATAACAGCTGAATAGTCAGTGCTTATTTTAAATCACGAATTTCGATGTTGCATAAAAACGACAACGTGGGTAAAAACTAAACAAAATGACTTAAAAAAAGCTTAACATTGTAAAAAATGTAAAATAAGTTTTCTAAACTAATTTTGTCTCCATTTGTAATAAGAAAAAATAGAACAAATTGTAACTTAAACGAATAACCTTTAATCCCCCTGTGAAATAAACATTGAAAAATCTTAAAAATTGTAGCAAAAAATTTAAAAGCAATTTTATATATGAAATTGACACTGAATTCAGAATATGAAACACGGTAAAAAAAATATAATTTCTTCCAATGATCGCAGAATGTGTCTGATGCGTTTCATGTTTAAAACCACTGGTAATCTTTTTTAAAAATACCTCATTATTTAATAATTTTTAAAGAAACTTTTGATTTCATATTTTTTTAATTTGTAGAAACGCTGCTTTACCATTTAATTATTAACACATGAAATTTGAAATAAATATTCTTTAATTCAGCGCCTTAAGTATTAAACAACACTACTGTAAGGATAACAGAAATAATTGATAAAAGATATATAGTGTAAAAAGGTAAAAAGAAAATTAGTTTCTGTATTATTTTCTAATTAAAGACTCCACATCTCTTTCGAACTCTTTAATGCAAAAAGAGTTGATAAGTTACGCTAACATGGCGCACTAATGCTGTTAAAAAAAACTCCAAAACAGACAGAATTTGATTTCTAACAAGGTATTTGTTGGTAAGGTTACATATTTTTCTTTATATTTGTCGGATTAATTCTAGCATTAGCTTACGGAAACACTTTTTTTTTTAAATTATTATTTGCAGTATAGTGTTGCAGATTGATTTATTTTCTTTCCTTAAAAATACTTGTAAATCGTGAAAAGCTGTTCGTGTCCGGACACCGTCTTTCTTTTGTCAGTATTACGGTTTTCATAATTTTTACCGGTTTCAGTACATTTATTTGTTTATAAATGATGATAGTAGTATTAAGAAAGTAGATTTTATTTTATTTTTTAAGTGGTTTTCTGTTGTAGCTAAACAGAGGGGAGGGAGTTACTTTGGCGTGTAAAATGGAGGATCATGTTGCGTAGATTGTTTTCCATTCATTTAAAAATAAAGAATACTTGAATATTATTTTTCAATGCGTGCATATTGACATTTACTGCGTCCTTCTGTAGTATTCTTTTAAAAAGTATTGTACATTTTACATTTAAAATTGTTGCTTCTTACATTTCAAATAATAAATAAAAAGCTACCACTTTTAAAAATAATGAATTTGTTTAGGAATTCAATTATTAAAGAAAAGTTTATTCTTTAAAGGTGGAAAAATTGACTTGCTATTCATTTTTTATGGAGGAGGATATCTAATAAACTTTAGCTTGACTTAATTTGTTTTTGTTTTAATTTAAATATCAATAATTTGTTTTTGTTTTAATTTAAAAATACCATTTAGCATGAATTAATTCAGATATTTTGACTTTTTTTTTTTTTTGGCAAAATCTGTTTTCCTTGAGACGTTCGATTTTGTTTCTTAAATTAATGTTTATTAATTAAAATTGAACGTAAAGAAATTTAATAATAGATACGCTCTATAATTGGGCAAAGATGCTGGTAACGTTTTTGATCATTTATGAATAATGCATTTTTTTTTAACCTAATCCCAACAAACAATAATGACGATTTTTCTCCTTTTAAATTTTGTTACACAAGTTATAGATATAGTCTTCTTATTTCTAACAAAATAATTAAATATTTTTATAATAAAATTGCAAATAATTATGATTGCTATTCTTGAATTATCGACTTTAAATTTTAAAAATGTCAAAAAAAAAATTAGAATAAAAATAAAGAATTTCCATTTTATTTATGATTTATTTCATTTTTTTACAGTTAGTACTTTTTTAACTTTTAAATACTTTTCTAAAATTAGTGAAGTTTTTTTTTAATTATAACTTTTTGTAATTTTCAATTTAATCACATAATAAAAATACTTAAACATTTTCACGATGAGAACAAAATTAAAAGTAAACTAATTTGTGTCTTAAGTTTTTAAAATGTAGTAAATTATTACAATAAACTTCCCAATTTTATATAAATATTTTTTGAGATTTTTAGAATTTGCAGTTTTTAAGCTCTTTAGCAATAAATGATTATTCCTTCCTTTATTTAATCAGGGAATAATTAAAAAAATTATTATTTTTTTTTTTTTACAATAATAATTCATCTCTCAATAATACATTTTTATTTTGCTATCGAACAGAACAATTTTCATCATATATTATGAACATTTTCTTCAATTTTATAATGATTTATCGTTATCATTGCTTAATTAATTGAGAGAAAAAAAATGAAATGAAACAAAGTAACAAAACAAACTCATTGAAACTGAAAACAAAAAGTAATTTGCAAATAGTAAAAAAATCATTTTCATATTGGCGGATTTCATCAAGTAAATAAAAAAATTTTTTGCAGTTCAGTAAAAAATTTATAGTGTAAAAATAAAATTTATACTACATTTAAACTGCAAAAATAAAAAAAACAACCGAGATATTGTTGAATCGGTTTAGGTACCGCTACACTGATTCTCTAAAAAATTAGTAACCATTCCATACCGTAATGAAAAAAAAGTTGCAAACTTAATAAAAAACAGTTTTATCGTCAAAATCTTTAAGAAGAAAGGCAAAGTTTGTTTTTTTTTATTATTATTAAATTGTATTTTTTTAAATTCTTATTAGAACGTTCGAAATTTTGGTTAAAAATCTTCGACCAAAGAGGAAATTTAGTGTCTTTTTTGTCGGATTCCAATGAAACTTTCAGAATTCACAAATGAATTAAATTATTTTACAAATGTGTGTGTGCGCGCGCACGCGCGTTTTTTTTTTTTTTTTTTTTTTTTTTTTACATCTGTTACCCTCCCCCATTTCGAGAAATTAAATTTTGTCCCTCTTAATCAATTAAAATCAGAAATCCTTGGAGAATATTTTAAACCCTCAATTTCTTTTTGTAAAACAGGACCCCCAGTTAAGGAAAGTATCCTCTGAATTGTATGTACTAAAACTAAGACATTATATAATTAGAAAAACTTTTAATTGCTCTTATGAATTGATGAATAATTGATTTTTACAAGAAGTGTTTCATTTTTTTTAAAATTCTAATTAGAATGATTGATAAAATTTTAAATCTTTTAAATTTCTGTCCTGGTTAGGTATTATTATTATTATTATTATTATTAAGTAAAAACTATATTTACTAAATCATAACTGAAAAAGCTTAGTACAATTCATTGATGCCGAATATTTTTAAAAGAATTTTGAAATTTTTTTATGGGTATAAATGTGTTGATTTATGTAAATACGGATGTCCATATACAACATTATAAGAAAATAAGAGTGATAGCTATAACAAATTTAAAGCCAAAGTGTTTAAAATTCAATAAAATATTAGATTACAGAGAATATTTTCCTAAATTTTCCAGATTACTGAGTAGTTCAAAGTTGTATAAAAAAGGTGCTCACATTCTTCAAATTTTACAGATATCCACTGTAAAAAAAAAAAAAAAAAATAGACTTCCATCTGTCATTCAAGCTGTCAACACCTAAAATAAACAGCTACCACTGTGTTAAAAATTCATTTTGCAATATTTAAAACTTAAAGTAAGTAATATTTGTTTTAAATCAGATTAATTAAACTTTGACTCAGCTAATATTATTTTATTTTTGAAGATAAATGTAATTCTCTTTATTAAAAAAAGTAAAGAGAATTACATTGTGATGACAGATGGCTAAAAATGGGATACTAGGTATAGTTATTTTGGAACACACAAATATTAAATTCTCTCAAATTAGCATTCTACCAAAATATTTTTTGTTTATGCTGCCAATTACTGTAAAAAATGTGCATATAACACCTTTTTTAGCACACTCAAAAAATTAACTTTTAAAAAATTTAGTCTGTCTTAGTCATTACTATAATTTAATTCATCAACATAGAAACAGATGTTTGTGCCAAATATAATTTGTTTTATTTTTAATCATTAGAAAGTCTTAGAGAAGAAAACAAAGTTACTTAAATCAGAAAAATGTGTTTATGATTTTAGATTTTGATCCTTATTATGATAAGTCATTTTTATTGGCATTTGTTTACATACCACATTGTGTTCAGAAATCTATATATATTTTAACCTTTGTCTTATTGGGAAGCAGTAAAAATATGATATTTTGTGTTGTCTGTATTTTATCTCTTCTGATTCTTATACAACAGAAATAATCCAATTTATATTTTTAGACCCTATTTTTATTCCTTTAAACTAGAAAAAAAACTTTGTTTTAATTCGATTTTAGTATTATAGTTTAATATATAAACATACATTTAAAATGTTTATTATTGAGTCTTCATGTATCAACAGATAAAGATGTGTGTAGACTTCTCAGCAATGTTACTTTTTACTGTAAATATATGAACCATGATATTTTCATTGAAACATAAATGATTGATATTTGCTAAGTTTAGCTAAGTAAATAAAACAAGGCTACATGATTGAACACACTACACTAACTAATCAGTTTGTTAGAGATATTACAAGCTTGCCAATCATATAGACTAAAAAAACAGTAATAAAAAGAAAATATCAGCTCCTTTTTTAATTATAAGTGGTCACCTAAAATCATTTAGTTATAAATGTTTTTGATCTTTTTTACTGTTATTAATTAAAATTAAAATTGTTTGTCAATAATTTGAACATTTTGTATTAAATGCTTAAAGTGTAATATTTTTATTATGACTAAAGATTCTGTTTTGTTCCTTACAGCTTTAATCTTAAAGCAGCCATGGACCGTAATCGTTATCTGAATTTCCCTAAATCAGAAATGAAATTACCAGATGTATCATGTGAGTACAATTCTAAAGAAACATATTTCCATCTTTGATTAATTGTTGTTTGTTAGTAGCAGTAGTTTTGTTATAGTTCTTCATTTACTCCTCATCAAAACTATTCTTTGTCATAACAAGAATACCCAGTCTTAATTGCTGTTTCTAGCAGTGTTTTTTCTGAATGAACTCTTATTTTTTTTTTTTTTTTTTTTTTTTTTGTAGCTGGAACCAACTCATTGAAGTTCAACAAAGGAGGAGATGGCCGCCCCAGAGGCTTTGGATTTCAAGGATTTGCCATAAACAAAAAACCTGCAGAACCTTCTAATGTTAAACCTCCTGGAACAGATACGCTTGGTTTTGCACCTGGTAGTACTCTATTCCCAGGTCGATCATATAACTTTAGTACCAACATTGGGAAGAAACGAGTGAAAAGTGAAGAAGAGTTAGTATAGAATTAGATTTTGAACAGTTTAATTGAAAACATTAAAAATCATGTCATTCTATTGAATGGAATTTGAAAGTTATTTTATTTTAATGTCACTAAATCATTTGATCAGCTCATGGCTGCTTGATGCTGTACTTTTATGATTGAATCATTATATTATTGCAAGTCAACCTGTCTGCTTTGTTTTTAATTTATTCACACAAATTATATCTTATTAATTTTTTTTTTTTTTTTTTTTTTACAAAAAGCTGTTGTGTGATAATTTCTTTTCATCTATTTCAGGTATTTTGAGGATGAAGATGAAGATAACCCTGACTTGGAATACCAACCTGCCCCTGGTAGCCCTGGGGTTGAGAAAGAATCTTCTGACAGTAGTGACAGTGATGACCCATTAGATGCTTTCATGGCTAGTATTGAGGTTTGTACACTTTCAACTCAGTTGAATATTTTCTATTATTGGTGCATTTTATGAATTTTACTTTTGTTCCAGAAACATTTCCCAACAAGATATGTAGCAATTAATTTTGACAAGAAATTTCTGTCAATTTCTGTTTTTCTTATTTATTTTGATTATTTGTGTGTGTATCATTGAGGTAGGATGTAATTTTGAAGCAAAGTATTAATCTATGAATTGTTCATACTAATATCCTAAGTCTGTCTGACTTGATTGCAAGGGGTTGCTGAGTTTTCTAGTTTTTCCTACCACACTGTATGAAATATTGGGATCAAAATAGCAAAGATGAGGATGCTAGTTCAGATAATTTATGGAATAATATTCTATTAAAGTACAGAACAAGTAATTGATTCTATATTATAAATAAGGTATAAAGTTTTTTTTGTTTTATCAAATGCTGTTAGAAAGCAAGGATTATACAAGGGATATTCTAAGGGTGCATTATGAACTGTTATCTGAAAGCTCCATTGTTTAGCTGTTGAGGTAATCAATATTTTTTCTCTTCATTGAGCTGAGGCATTTAATGTTGTAACCACTTTAGTAATTTTTCTCCAATCTCATTAAATTTCTCAAAAGAATATTATTTGTATTCTTATCTATCCTTCTGTTCAAAAAGTTACCATTGGCTTTCATTGAATTCTCTCCTTACTTTTTTAATCTTGTTTTTTTTACTTGGGATTTAATGTTAGCACACATAATAATCTTCTAACAGCACTTCTGTTTGTCTGAGTTTGGATGTGGATGTATGTTACCATTTTATGCTCAAATAACAACAATAGAAACCGATAAAAAGAAAGTAACAGATTATTAAAGTCTGTTTATTCTCCTAAGCATGAAAGCTTCCATTTCACAGCATTGAGTTAATCAGAAAAGATGGCAACTAGATAAGTATTGTTGAAATTAGGTATCTACAGACAAACTTTTTGGTTTTCTATGCCATCAAACTCTCTCAGAAAGGCCAAGAAATCAGTTCAGTCTTTGAATGTTAGAATTTTCTGTACTTCTGTGTTTATTTTCAGAAAGAGGTGAAAGATCAAGATACTAAGGTGAAAAAAGAACCTAAAAAGACTGACAAGTAAGTATTACCAGTCGTTTTGGATGTGAATGTGAAAATGTAAAGAAAATTGTCTTTTGCATATTCAACTGCAGATCTTATATAGTATATGCTGCTGTTATTGACTTATTTGCTCTATGTTGTCCCATGTTTCTCCTTCAGTAAGTTCTACAGGCTAATACTGTTCTGAAACAGTTATTTTAATCACTACTTCTTTTAATGTTTCATATACATTTCCACATAAGTGTAGAAATTTGATATTATATGTTTGTGTTTTGTCACATCTCCAGTTCCTATATTTTTTTTTTTTTTTTTTTTTTTCTTGTGCAGAGGTGTGCGCGAGGACATAGAACAAGAAGATGATCAAGAATCATATTTTCGCTATATGGAAGAGAATCCAACTGCTGGTCTTGTCAAAGATGATGACGATGTAGAAATGGAGTATGATGCAGAAGGCAATGCTATCATTCCTGAAAAAATGAAAGTTAGTTTTGCATATGGCCAAAAATTACTTTTGACAAATACATTCATTATTTAAAGAGTTTACAGTAATCATATACATTTTTACAGTGTATTTTATTTTTGTTATAATATACTGAAAGAAAAGATTTAATGTAATAAATGCATAACTTTAATTTATAGTATTTTGATAGTATTTGTTTGTAAACATATGTACTAAATGTCACTGAGTCACTTTTATTCCAGTGTGATGTCTATTTGGCATTTAAGCTTTGGCTGATATATAGGATGTTCTTTTCATGTCACAAGAATCAGAATAACTTTTTAGTAAATTTATTTTTATTATAATTTATTAGCAGAAGTATGATAATCAAAGATAGATATGTATTTTTGAAACTTCAGTAAAAATCGTCAAAAAGTCTGGTTTACTTAAAAAGTAAAAAAAAACAAACATGCTATCATCAAAATTTGAACATTAAATCTATGAAAGACAAAATTCAACTATTACACACATTATAAATGTTATTACAGTAACCTAAAACACACCTATAAAACTTGTTAAAATCAGGTCAAAGATACACACTCACCTTACACAAAAGGTACAAGGAGTTCAGAATTAAATTTATTATTTGGATTTCAGTTATAGTGAAAATAAATTTTCATTCATTTTTTAAATTTAATTTCTGATAGATTATTGATCCACTACCACCAATTGATCATTCTGAAATTACCTACTCAGAATTTGAAAAGAACTTTTATGAAGAACATGAAGAAATCAGTCAGCTCAGTGATTCTCAAGTGGAAGAGCTTAAAGACAAGCTTGGCATAAAAGTATGTATTTTTTTTTCTCCAGAGAAATATCCAAACCTGGCAGAAGTTGTTTAATCTTATTTTAAATAATTAGCAATTATAGTACTGATATGTTTTATGTTCTCTTTAGGAAAAGAAATAATTAGAATTTTCAGTTTTTTTTTAATCTGCCAATATGGATGCAGGTTAGAATTACTAAATTATTATAACAGATGATAAAAGTTGATATTGAGTAAATTAATAATGCTACAAGTTTTTGAAATTGTATGATATATTTTAACAATATATCTTTAACCATCAATGTCTAAAAATAGTTAACTCTTTTTTTGTTTTTGATTATTCACAAAGTATTTAACAAAAAGGAAAAAATAATTTATACTCATAGAAAATTGTTATAAAAAAATTGTAATTATATCAGAATAGATTGCTTTAAAATGAACTTTAACTGAAGTAGGAATTGGCTACAAAGTAATTAAATTTTCAGCTGTTCATATAAAGCCATGAATGTTTTAAAGAAGATAAATGAGTTTTTTTTTTTAACTATGCAAAAACTTATTAATTTGCAACATTCGTTTATTTAATATTTTGCAGGTGACTGGTATTTGTCCTGCAAAACCAGTCAGTAGCTTTGCTCATTTTGGTTTTGATGAGTCACTTATGAATGCAATAAGGAAATCTGAATATACTCAGCCAACCCCTATACAAGGACAGGTCAGTTTTTTATAATGGTTTATTTTTAATCAATTTTGAAGTGTCATATGTAGTCCTAAAAAATATAAAAATTTGTTCCTTGATTTTTTTTTTTCTTATAGGAATAATTATTAATTTAATAATAATAATAATAATAATTCTTTGATAATTAATTTTTTAGGAATAATTAATAATAATAATTATATATATATATATATATATATATATATATATATATATATATATATATATATATATATTATGTTTATTCTGATAGCTAGAGTTAACCCATTAATTGTGGATGAAGGGAATATCTCTCATTGAATTGTTATTGCTCAAATGCAACTGATGAAAATTTCTGTTGCATTTCAATGCTTTAGATTGTTGCTTAAGATTTTGAGAGTGATTTAAACAGGACCAATCATGTAATATAATCAGATAATATCAATGTGGAATTTTCTTTATTTCTAATTTTGTCATTGATCAGAAATAATTATTGGACATAGCACTATAGCAGAATGTAATTTATTGCACTCTGAAGCTGCTTATATGCTATGGATTTCATATGAAGCATGTTTGCAATAATTGTGATTTTTATTTTTGTATTTTTAACATGTGAATTCTCTCTGCACCATTTTAATTATTTTCTAAAATGACTTTATTTTTAAAGTTCTAAAAAAGAAATTCAGAAAGTGGTTTTTCAGCTAATTATGCAAATTATTAAATGTGCAGGTAGCTTAATTGTTACTGGTATGGAAAATGGAATTGAAAATCTGGTCGAGTTGTGTTTACTTTGCAATAACGTTCTTTGGAAAGGCATATGAAACCTTTTCTTTTCAAGTAGTTAAGGGATAAATGTCAGGGTAAATTGAGCTTTCCATCTTTGGCCTTGGGTGGCAGCCAGTCTAAGAGAAGGGTATACTGAATTTAAAACCATGGCGAAGACATTGTGAAACCACTTCACTATCTTTTCCAAGAAGTCATCATGGTTCAAAGTAGCTGTAGAGTCATGATTGCCTCTGTCCTGAAAGGGATAGGGCATTTAAAAAAGTGTCATTAATTATATAAAATATATCTAAAAATTAAGCATAAGTAATGTGTAATGTGTTGAAACTCCTTGTTTTTATCATCATCATACCACTATTATTATTAGTTTATAGTACTGTCAAAAAATAATATCAGTATTTAAGTAATTTTGTAATTGCATTGTTGGTATTTTGTGCTTGAGAAATCTAGGATTTTTATCTATACAACTATCTCTGTTACATGTAAGAAAGAATTTTGCTTTTTAGGTATTTAAAAATATCCAAAAAAGTTGACAAAAATCAAAAGCGATGAAAAATAATATATGAGTAGCTTAATCTCCTTTTTATTTATTATATGCAGTTATTATGGTAACATGAGACAAGTTTGCTTATTGGTATCTGGTAATGCCTGCTCTTAACATTACCATAGAATTGCTTCATCTGAGAAGTAGAGATGAGACTGCAAGACTGATAAATATAGAAAATCACATTGTGTTTTAACATAGATTTTTAATACCAAAATTTACAAATGAAAAGACAATTATTCAATGCTTTAAATTATGCCGAATTATTTTATTTGTACCAGTTCAAGCATATAGTTAATCCTACTGGTACATTTTTGACTATTGTTTAAGTTTCACTATTAGTTGTCAGCTTTAACAATTGCAAATTTTCTTTTCTTTTTTTAACTTTAATAAGCATTTATAAATGTTTTGGTACCTCAAAAAATTACAGTTCTTAATATGGCTTACATATTGGTTTTAAACTTTTTGCAATTTTAATTTTTTTTTTGTTTATATATTTATATATATATATATATATATATATATATATATATATATATATATTTATTTTTTTTTTTTTTTTTTTGAAAGTTAACTGAATAAGAATTATTGTTTTAATTTTTACTATGCTTTTAATTATGAAATAAAAATCATAGCATCAAATGTTAGTGTTTATTAAAAGTGTTCTCATTATCTAACATTAATTTCCTTATCTGCCTTTGTAAATTATTTCTTGACAAAAATATAACTTGTTTTGAAGCAGATTAAAAACAAATCAGTTATGCAGGAAAATTGTATTAAATTGGCATCATTTAATTCACTGTGGTGCTGTTACTCAGAAGGATTTTTTGCTATTGTAGGGAATTCCTGTTGTTTTGTCAGGCAGAGATATCATTGGAATTGCCAAGACTGGTAGTGGCAAGACAGCTGCATTTGTATGGCCAATGTTGATTCACATCATGGATCAAGTAAGAATTCAACACTCCTAATAACTTTTTTCTCACTGCTAGTTCAGTGTTTTTGTACCTAGGTTACTATGGATTGATTTTTCAATTTCATTACATAGTTAAACAAACATCTTTTTTTAGTGTGTGTGTGTGTGTATATATATATATATATATATATATATATATATATATATACACACACACACACTTTGATCACTACTCAGACAATTTACAGACACAAATGAAAAAAAATTTGTTACATTTGTAATTTAAAAAATGAATCCCAACTGTAGCATGAATCTTTGTGATTTGAATATATGAATTGTTCTAATTAGAATAGTGCCAAAAGTTAGCAATACAAAAAGAAAGCTAAATGTAAGGCATTCTTAATATGTTTAAAGAATTAGCAGTTGTAACATTTAGAAAAGTTCAAAGTACACACTGTTTGAACCAAATATGAGGATATTCATCCAATGGAAAAATTACAATTTTTCATCTCAGAATTTCAGCCCTTTAGTAAGGTTGATCCATAATATTCATATAATCAGGACAAGTGTGGAATACAAATCTAAGAAAAAAATATTGAAATATTTGAGTTTATGCTAACTTTTATTTTACTTACACATGACTTTAGAAAAACTTTTTTCTTTTTTGACATTTCTTCAAACTGTATCTATTGTATTTTTAATAGTAAAGATTTCTGTAAAATACCGTTGGCATATTCTGCTAATGTGATTAAACGTGATTTATTTTTCAGAAAGAACTTGAAGAAGGTGATGGCCCTATAGGTTTGATATTAGCTCCAACTAGAGAATTATCTCAACAAGTAAGGTTCTAATCTATATTTAAAAGATATTGATATTTAAATAATTTTCTCTAAATTTAATTTTTCTTGGAACTTTGGCCCAGTCAGATTGCTTATTTTAATTTCCAAAAATAAAGATTTGGGAATGAAAATAAGCAATTTGTAGTCATTTAAAGGTATTAAATACTAAAATTAAACTGAAAAATTGCCAGTAAAAAATATATCTTAAGATTTGTGTATAAAAGACAGAAAATAGTGCTTGCATTTTTTTTTTTTTTTTTTCAGTAGAAAATTTTTTATGGTAGAAATTTATATAAAATCATTCATTACATGTTTTAGAGATATTTTCTAAATATCAGACTTAACACATTATATATTATATATTTTTTTTTTTTTCCAGATTTACCATGAAGCTAAGAAATTTGGGAAAGTTTACAATATCCGTGTTGTATGTGCCTATGGAGGTGGTAGCCTTTGGGAACAGTGTAAAGCTTGCCAAGAAGGAGCTGAAGTTCTTGTAGCAACACCAGTAAGTTTTCTTTTAAAACAATCTCTCTAATATTAAGACACCTGACTGCATCAAGTCAGTAGTGAATTTTCAGCATTAAAGATTAGTGATTAGACTATTTAGATTGGATTCCTGTGAAAGAGAGGATAGTAATCACACCCTCATTTTTTTTTTCTTGGTTATTAAAATAGTTTTACATAGGTTTCTATGAGTTTATAAAATTGATCTACATTATTTTTAATGAGTGTTTTCCTTAATCCAGTAACTAAATTGAATCATTGACTGGAATAGCAAAAAAAGAATAACTTTATAAATAATAAAAATTGATTGTGAATTCAAATTCTTCTGCTTAAGTATTTAAATGGTTTTAGTTTATATTGTTGATGCATGTAAAAAAATGCAAATTGTAAATAATGGTTTCCTCTATAAAAGCTGATATTTTGGCTGGCAAAGGACCTAATCAGTGTGTGTTTATATTATATATATATATATATATATATATATATATATATATATATAAAGTCTTTAAGTCTGCAGATGATATCCTAGAGCCTTAAAATTAAATTCCCCACACCCTTATATTGACCTTAAACTTGCATCTTTCTTCTTTTCCCACTCTCTAAGATAGCAATATTTCTTGATTTTAACCTGGAGTAAATTTTTCAATTTTTGTTTGTAAGTCTGAAAGATCAAGAGCTGTTTTTTTAAAGCTCTCATGAAATAAAAATTATTACCTGTGGGATTTTAAGTGTTTGATATTCATTAATTAATAATAATTTTGCTCTGTCTTTGACATAGAGGTCTCCATGGATCTATATCCTCCTGGAAATTCCTTATGGATTACCATATTGCATTATTATTACTAAATATATATATATATATATATATATAATTAATAGGGATAATTTCAAAGAGGATATAAATCCTAAGAGAGCTCAATGTAATAACAGAGCAAATATAATAATGATATTATTTTATATAATGTATGTCTTTTATTGTAGGGCACAATACCTTAGATGTTAGTTACTGACTGCTTTTTGCACAAGACTTTGTTGATGTCTACCTATAGTAATGTAAGATTTTGTAGCACAATTTGTAATAATAACTGTTGCTTATTTGTGCTTCATTTCAGGGCCGATTGATAGATCTTGTCAAAAAAAAGGCAACCAATTTACAGAGAGTCACTTATTTAGTTTTTGATGAAGCTGACAGAATGTTTGATATGGGTTTTGGTAAGTTGTTTTAGTTCAGATTTTTCTAATTTTTTCCCCCTGAGTTAAATTAAATCTACTTCAACTATTCAATTGATTTCTTGCAGTGAACAGTAAATGAATGAATCATATATATAAGCAAATATCATAAAGTTTACATACTTGATGTAAGAGTTTTCAGAATTTTACATAAATAATAAACTTTGACAATAGAAATGATAGGCGGAGGATTATTATTGAATAATTAAATTCACCTTCTATGTATAGACATTCAGTTCCCCAATAGATGAAGCTTCATCTTTTTAATGGGTTGTTTGGAATAGTCAGTTGAAATAATCATATTAATCAATAATCATATATTAAACTTATTAATTATCAAAGAATTTTCGACCTAATCTACACTCTAACCAAATGATTAAACATCATTTTTTATAAATTCTTTCTTTGTTGGGATGATAATTTTTGTAAATTTTAAGTACACCCTCGTTAAAAGGGGCAAAATTTGCATTATTTACTTTTTTTTATTTTATTTTATTTTATTTTTTTTTTATTTATTTTTTTTTTCAAACATTAAAGTATTAAGAAATCTCATTTAGTGATTTTCTAAATTTTATAACTTTAGTCTATAAATTTATTAATGTTTTGATTTTTATTGTTGAAATTCAAATTCAGAATCTCAAGTTCGCTCAATTGCTAACCATGTTCGACCTGACAGACAAAGTAAGTTTTTTTTTTTTTTTTTTTTTTTTCCAAAAGCTTTCACTTAGATAATTATTGCAAACAACATTCACATACTGATGCATTATTTAATTAAGGATGTTTAAACATTTTGAGTATTGGATTATTTAACTTTATATTCAAAGATTAATTTTTGATGAAATATGGTTATTTTTTAAAAGGAATTTAAGATAGAGATTACATCTTACTTGTTAGCCAATTTAGAAAATAAGAGTTTCTATGAAACTGATACTCAAATTTATCTCTTGTTTGGATTCATCTCTAATATATATATATATATATATATATATATATATATATAAAATTTTGCTGGAAAACATCCAAGTTTGATAATTATAGAGAGAATGTATTTTTTTATAGAATAGCTGAATTAAGCTTGTCTGGATTGTTACTATTTTAATTTTTACATGTACAAACAAAAACAGTGCTTATCTTGGAAATGGTGACTGGAATTAATCTCAATGGAAATAGTAAGATAAGTTGATTTGAGAGGATATCTTTTTTTGTTATACATGACAGCACAGGATGTAGAAAATTCTGGAAATTATTATTCTAAGTATATTATGACAAACAGTATCAATGTGCTAAAAATGACACTTATTTTTCTCTGAATGTGCCATATTTTCTATTTAGAAATTTGAATACTTTTTACTTGTAATTATATACAGCCTTGCTATTCAGTGCAACATTTCGTAAGAAAGTTGAGCGTTTGGCACGGGACATACTGGCAGATCCTATTCGTGTTATTCAAGGAGAACTTGGCGAGGTAGGTATCCCCTTTATTTTTTTATTATTTTGGTTATTTGACCCTGAATAAATTTTCTTCTTTGCCAATTGTAATTTTAATGATTACTATTAAATGTAAACAATTTTTTTTTTTTTTTTAACATGACAGGCAAATCGGGACATTACTCAGTTGGTCGATGTGTTACCTTCAGGACCTACAAAGTGGCGCTGGTTAATGAAGCGACTTGTAGAATTTACTACATGTAAACTATATACTTTTCTTTGTTTAATTGTTTCTCAAGATTGTAAAGATAGCATCCTACTCTTTATCAGCTTGTAACTAATGACACTGTAGTCATTGTTATTATGTTCCTTATTACTTATTTACTTAAGAGCATAAAAATATTATAGAGCTGAGTGTTGTAGTTTGATTTGTGATAAGCAACACCATTGGAACTTGATATAAAAATAATGAAAACAAGAATATTATAGTTATATAATCAACACAAATGAAGTGGTGTCCTCCTTCCATTTTCTTATTAATATGTTAAATAGTTTAATTACTAAACAAGTTATCATGAAATAAGTTTTCTGGTATAAATTCTTGAAATACTTTACTAAATGTTTGTCTATGTATTTGTATGATTGTGCATGTGTACCAATGTTTATCAGATGATATTTCTTTTCAGTGGGAAGCATTCTAATCTTTGTGACAAGAAAAAGCAATGCTGAAGAATTAGTCTCAAATCTACAAAATAAAGACTTTTCAGGTCAGTTTTTCTTTAATTTCTATTTTAATATGGAAAAGAAAGAAATTTAGTTTGTACAACAAAATTTGAAAGAAAAAGAACATAGGTACAATAGATTAGACATGGTAACATTTTTTTCCTTTTTACAATGAAGACTAGTAAAATTAATCAATGACAGTATCTTCCAGGGAATTATAAAAAATAAAGTTGTAAATAAATGAATACTCATGTAACAGAAAATAAGATTCCATGGCATGCTTTTAAAGTATTATTTACTATTATTATTTTGTAATCAATAATATTGATTAACTAGAGAAAGTGTTTCTTGATCTTATTTAATTTTTTTTCCAGTGGGTCTCCTCCATGGTGACATGGAACAAGCTGAGAGAAATAAAGTAATCACAATGTTTAAAAAGAAGGAAATTCCTATTTTAGTTGCAACAGATGTAGCTTGTAAGTAAAAGTTGTTTTTACAATAAAAAAAAAATTGATATCTGATGGTATTAAGTACCTAAAATTCTTTGTTGCACATTGATCTAGCACAAGGTGTAACATTTGTTATAATAAAAAGGCTAGAAAACTAGTTCCCATACTTTAGTATGGTTTGCTATAAATATATCTGGTTGTAAACTAATTGTTCATTACAGTCTACATTTAATGCATGTGTGAAGTTATGTAACATTTAATGAAAAAGGAACTTATAAAAAAAAAAGAGGTAGATTTTTATTTATAATATATATGATCTGTCCAGAAAATATCCAATTTAATATTAATGCAAAAATAGCCTACCTATGACAATGGTGCTTCCATACTCAGCATTTCCTGTACTTTTCAAAACAGTCTTCAAAGTCATTTTTTGAGATCATTATCAGTTGCTTTATTGCTTTCTCTTTTAATTTTGTCCAGAGCATTTTAGCAGGGATTCTTTCAGTAAATCAATTCTGGTTTGTTGAGGTACTAACAGGTCAGTCATGCATTGTTACTACTAAAAATTTCTCCATGAGATATGAAGAAATTATTCACTTAGACATTATGATTGCAACAAGCCCTAAAGCTCATTCAGTGGTATCTCACAGCTGGCTGAGTAATCTCATGGAATTCGCAGGGTGTATTCCGCAGAAGGTAACATCAAGGTAACACAACTTGGACTCGAGATATTAAAAATGGCTAAATTATATTCTGGGTACACTTCATATGCTTAAAAAAATATTAGGATGTTTTATTTTTAAATGTGGAAAAAAGAAAAGACAGTCATTTAGAATATTGTATAGTATTTTACCTATCATTGTTGGCTATTATACAATAAGAAATGCACACACACATATATATATATATATGATAAAATCCAAAATCACTTCATATGGGGATTAAGCTTATTTCAGCTGATAAAAAAATAAAATTTGTCTTATTCAACCCTGATATAGACCGAGTTCCTGTCAGAATTAGAAATTTAACTGTGAAAGCTATATATACATACACACACACACACACACACACACTATTTGATACAGAAAAAAATCCAAAATTAGAGCCAGAGTGGTAGTTTATTTATAGCCAAAACCTTTAATTGTATGTAAATGAATTTAGGTTTCTGCTAATGGATTATATTAAGTGAAGACAAGACAATTTAAAATTAGAATAAATTATCGAAATAATAGATTCCCAAAATCTGTAAGCAATGCCAAAACGCCCAATGAAATAAATCATATCATACAACACAGACATGTGTACCCATTTACACACACATATCTACATACACGTACCTGTGTTCACCCATACATACACACTTACACATATATGTATACATACCATCCATTTACACCATTAAGGTTCAGTTATATTATTAGGAATACTGAGCTGTACCTGAAATATTTTTAAGAGGAAGTAAACCTTTAATCAAGGGGGTTTGCATCAGTTTGGGGGGGTTTTTTTTTTTTTTTGTAGTAATAAGGTAAGATCTATATTATTATATAAGTTTGAACCTGCTTCATTTTAATACTAGCTCTTGCTTTTGATTTAATAGTTTGCATTGATCATTGTATTTTATTCTAATTTTTTTCCTCTAAACATAGCCTGCATCTTTCTCTAAAACTATTAGGAGTATGTTCAAAACGTATTCAGAGACAGTCAGTCTAGGGCTGAGGAGGACTAGCATATGGTAGTGCAGGTCTGAAATAGACTATACCCACGAGATAATTTTGGATTTTTTACTGTATAAAATATATGCTCTTTTATAATAAATACATTGAGCTCTCTCGTGGATCAGTTTTAATGTCTGATATTACTAGGATCCACCTGGATTATATAACAACGAATCTATCATCTGTACTATATATATATATATATATATATACCTACGTTTAGGTGTGTGACTTAAGTTTCGCTAGTTTTCCAGCTCATTGGGCACAAAATAAAAATACACAGATGATACATAGGAGAGATGCTGCGTTATAGTCCAAAAATAAAATAGTGAAAAAGGTGTGGAAAATTAATTGAAGGTAGTGCTCATTTTCAAAAAAAAAAAAAATGTACATTTAAAAGTTAGAAAATTTCAAGTTTCAAATTTAAAGTCATAACTGGGAACGCTGCTCTTGGTCGAGTATATTAACGTCGACGGGTTTGAAGCGTAAGCGTTCTCAAAGCAAATTTGTGGCTTTCACAACACAACGAAAGAAAATCACTTGTAACACGTCAGGAAAATAACTCACGAACGCCGTAGCCAAAACTGCTCGAATTTTTTCCTCCCAAGTCGACAACACCAACTGCTTTTATCGGCAGAACCTATTTTTTCCATTCGTCGACAGCCGGGATAGGATGCTCCGTAATTTGCATATAAATATCCTCTTATAGCGACTCCTGCGACGGACTTGTTTCTTTTTCGTCCCAGAATACACGCGACTGGGCTGTCGCTTGGGTTGACGAGGTAAGTCGCTATAAGAGTTTTGCTGACTACTTTTTTGGCAATCCTCCCCGCAGATCGCACACAAAACACAAACTTTTTTCCGGGGTACTTGATTATCTCGTTCACTACAGGGTTAAAGGGAGGTAAGCTGTGAGGGACCTAAAGGTAAATAAAAGGAGAATATAAAGAAATTAGCCAGGTTACCAATATTTTAGGAGAAACAATTTTGTATGCTTCATGATTTTGTTCCGTTTATTAAGTCTAACCACATCGAGTACTATTACGTTTACACCACTTGGTTAAATTTGATGGATATTTATTTGCTTGACTGTGTATGCATGTCAACACTAGCATATATGGTTGCCTGTATCAGATAATTTGATTTACCTAACCATATATATATATATATATATATATATATATATATATATATATATATATATATATATATATATAATAAGTTCTTACATACGAACAAACAAGTAATCGCTACAAAGATGCATATTTGTTTTGATGCATAAACATCTCATCAGGTGGTGAACATCTTTTTATAAATGATTTTATTTAAAAATTCTACTTATGAAACCTCACTTCTTTTTTACATTTTTAAAAATTTAAGAATACATAAGAAGAATTTCCATAAAAGGAAAAGAAAAAATGATATATGCAGGTTAATGAAGAAAAAAGAAAAGGATAAGAAATCAATAAAAGGAAAGAAAAATAGAAAGTTAAGAAATCATCCCTTTTCTCATAAAAAGAAAAAAGAGAAAAACAAAGAGGAGTAATATATCAAAATTAACCAATACAAAGAAAAGAGAAAGAATGGAAGAAAATAGAAGTTGTTGATAACAATTCAGCCAATGAAAAAAAACGTTAACATTGAGATAAAAGTCCTACAGAAAGATTCAAATTTTACCAGATATGATTGCAACAGAGTAGAAAATATTTTAGATACAATGTATCAGTTAAGTTTGTTTGGTGTTTTGAAAGAAACCAATATATTATTTAACAAAATTAAACATAGTATGTAAATAAAAAGCACTTTAAGAAGTGAAAACATTAGGTATGCAAAATAACAAATTAACTATACAAAATTGTAATAGGAGTGACAGTGACTTACCAGGAGCAAAGCGAATTCATTGCCTCGCGTGTCGAACCATTCTCTGAGAGTCGGTTGCGTGTGCGCGCGCCTACTGCCATTTTTATGCAGCAGACTTATTTGCATAAGAGAACCACGCTACCGATTAAAAACCCGGCGAGTGGACGTGGGAGGCCACTGCTTTTCTAGGCTTCAGCGAGACTAGACGGATTGCAGACAGAAAGCGACAGCAATTTCTGGACATACGACAAAAATATTACATCAAAAATTAAAAATAAATAAAATATAAACTTTAAAATATTTATATAAATTTTTATAAATTTAAGACTATTACCTTATAACTCATAATATGAGTACAAACCTATCTACAACCTTAGTTTAAGATAAATCAGTAAGGATAACATTAAAATGTTTATATGAAGGTAATATAACATAAGAGAAGTGATTATTAGGTTAAAAAGTTTAGCAAGATTCTAAGGTTAAATCCTTAATGTGCCTACAATTCACAGTAGTTTCAAATCTCTGATTTAACATTTGACCGCTATTCAAAAGTTTAATTATACTCATTTTCTCCTGTAGACATAGAAAACAAATAATTCTGGTCTCATGGCAGGAACACTATATTATATGCATATTCAAAGTTCAAGGTTATTATAAACTAGCAGTAGAGCCCGGCGTTGCCCAGGGATGTAACAGTAAGAGATAGATCAAATATCGACCATCATAAAGACTGAAAAATAAAATTGACAAAGATTATTGTTTAAGATTGACGGACACGCATGTCTTAATTAGTTTTTTTTTTTTTTTTTTTATACAAATTTGTCAAACCCAAACAAAAATATTGTTTTCAATCGTTATGATGAGTCTACTGATTGAATAGAATTTTATTATAAACAATTGTCTTGTAAATGGAATTTTTAAAGCATTCTGAATGTAAAAATAAAGAAAAAAGTGTGCAAGACAATAAGAAACACTACCTGCCAAAAAAGAAAAAAAAGAAGTTTTGTTGAAATTGGTTGAAAAATGTAGGAAATCCAATCCCATATATAAACGAACACACACACACAAACAACCTGGGTTTTATAATAAGTATAACTCGATATGAGTTGTCCCCCCCTTTCATTCTCGTGATGCCTCTTAATCGTGTTTTCAAATTGATTTTGTGCAAAAACAATTGTGTTTTTCCAATGTTTGGTGCTGTTAGAACCACCGCAAGGTAATTTTACGTAGTCCTGTGAAGTTTGTTGAAATCGGTTGAAAAATGTAGGAAATCCGATCCAATATATAAACGTACAGAGATACACACACACACACACACACACACACAATCTGCGTTTTATAATAAGTAAGATTTAATATAATATTGGAGTATAACTTCAAAATATAGTGTTGCTAGGTAGATATTTGAAAAAAATAATCATGATATATAAACTTATCTGGTATATATTTCTG